GGCTATATTTTAAAAATAAAAAAAATCCAAAAAAAAATCTAACCGTTTGGGGATTTAAAATATGGTTGTTGGCCTGCAAATATAGCCGTTTGGGCTTTGTAAAATAGCCATGTAACTCCCCCCCCCTCTCCCCAATTTTGTTTTAACCCCAAACTTTTTATAATTATACTTTTTTCCTATTTTAATTGTAAATACCCCCTCATTCTTTTATTTTTCTCACAAAATCATCAATCTCTCTCAATATCTCTCTAATTTTCTTCTATAATTGGTTACTTTATTCTTGCAATTTGTGTGAAAAATTGTGAAGTTGGTGAATTGAAGTATTCAAGTCTTCAACGATAATTAGTTTTCAACAAGTTGTTCGTCAATTCGGTAAACTCGTTCCAACTCTTTAGTTTTAATATTATAGTTTTGTTCGTTATATTTACTTTGTATAATCATAATTAAGATGTCTTATTCCTTATAAAATATTTAGTAAAAATAAGGGAAAATCCAAGAGTGGTGAATCTAGTGGCCAATTTATAACTCCTCTAATTCCCCGGGCTCCCGTACCCAAATCCATACCCACCCTCCACCTGCTCCTATTCTTGATAGTGATAATACTTTATTACAATTTACTGAGAGTCAATATGTGCATAATGTTGGAGGTGGTGACCACTTTATATGAATTATCTTTATGGTAATCCAACTATTGATGAAGAAGATGAGCAGGAAATAGATTTGGATGAAACACAACCGGATGATGATACACCCATTAGTCCTGTTGTTGAAGTTAACCCAACTAATCCAAATGATGCCCCGATTGACCCCCCTGTTACTACCCCTACTTTTTTTAGACAACCTTCTACCTAGTCAGCCTGACCTTAATACCGGGTCGAATCAAGTTCAACTGGGAATTAACTCTGTTACCGGTGGTATTTTATATTATGATCCAAGAAAAGACACGGAAGAATTGGCAAAAATGGTTACTGTTACGTGCTTACCCTATAGTTTTCCGTCTAACCTTCACTTTGTGCATTATATTAGAAAAGTTTTTAATCTTACTTATAAAGGATGGCCTCGCACAACCATAAAGGGCAATATTTATAAATATATACATGAGCATGAACAATATTTGCGCTATTTATTTACTCATATTAATTGTCGTGTTGCTATTACTACTGATATTGGTAGAAGTGGTAATGACTGTGGTTATCTTACTGTTATAAGTCATTGGATTGATGAGGACTGGATAATGCAAAAGCGCATTATTGCTTATAGAATAATTAATTCACGTCACACAGGGCAGTTTATTTCTAGCACGGTTACGGATATTTGTAGATATTTTTGCATTAATGATAAAATAATGTCAATTTCAATGGATAATGCTACTAGTAACACTAATGTTGTTGCCTTGCTTACCACTACACTGAATCGTGCATTTAGTAACATTTTTCATGTTAGATGTATTTGTCATATTTATCATTTAATTTGGTTGATGGTATGAGAATTTTAAATGTTGAAATTGAAAAGGTTAAAATGGCTCTTAACTAGCTTTAAAAGATGCGATGAATTTGGCCTAAGAGAAAGAAAGGTTCCTAAAGCTTGTCCAACTAGATTGAATTACATGTATGAAAGTTTAGTTGATGCATATGAATATAGAAACCCCATAAACTCAACGTTTAATGCTCATGTAAGTGATGATGATGAGCACCTTACAAATGCGGATTGGGCTAATGTTAAAATGCTTGTAGATTTTTTAGAAAGATTTCATGTTGCTACAAATGAATTTTCTGGGCAGTATTATCCTTGTGAGCACGTGATTTTTGCCTCGCATGAAGTACTCCTACAGATTTCCAAAATTAGATTTTTCCTTTTTATTTATTTGTTATTTTATGGAATTATTGTATAATTTTTTTTGTTTTTTTGTTTGTTTGCATTTTGTGTGCACGTTTAATTTTATCTAATCCATAAAATACAAAATATATGTTGCATTTGCATTTAGGATTTAATTTTATATTTTTAGATTAATTAGTAAATTAGTGTTTCATAAAAATTGGAAAATTACCAAAAAATAACCAATTTTGCATTTTATTGTTTAATTTCGAGTTTTGTTAGTTTTCTTTAAATTTGGTTTTTAATTAGTTATGTTAATTATTATTTAGAATTAATTAGTATTTTTGATAGGTTAATTTGTTTTTAAGATTTAATTTAGATTTTTAATTTTAATTTTGAAAAAAAAAAGAAAAGGAATTAAAAAGAGAATTTGAAAAGAAAAGAAAGGATTTGAAAAGATCAGAGTTTTTGGGCCAAAATTTGAAATTGCCCAAGCCCAAACCAATTTTCCCTTAAACCCGTTTGACCCAGCCCATAACCCGTTTTCTTACCCGGTCTCCCCACCAACCATCCAAACGACCCCGTTTCATTTATTTTTAATCTGGACCGTTGATCTCAGTTGATCAAATGGTCCGGAACTGGTTTGTTCTTATTATTTAACTGTCCGAATGTATCTCCCCCCCCCCCCTTTCAGTCGTCTCCCTCACTTAACCTCCTCAGAGAACAAACTAAAAAACCCTAGAAGCCGCCTCATTTCCCCACCGTCTCAGGCTGGCGGCGCCACCTCCAAAACACCCCAAAACAACACCCCGTAACCCCCATGACCCCCTCATACCTTATCTACAATTGGTTTCCCTCGAATATTCCTTGAACTTCTCGAATCTTAAATCAAAGATTCGAACCCTAAATCCCCGAAGCATAAATTAGAAGCCTATTGAAGATTTGGAGTCAAAATAGGCTTTATTCATGTGTTTTCACTTGAGAACACATGATTAAAGCCCATTTCGGCCAAAATCAAAAGGTTCGAGGGGTTGAATTCCAGATTGTGTTCGTCCAGTCAGTGTAGGTACTGTTCAGCCTTTTCCTTTCTCTTTTCTTGCATATTTCTTTTCCTTCTTTGATTCAGTTCACTTGCATAGCTGTTTCTGTCTCCTCTCTTCCTTTCTTCATTATATGTTCACGTTTTTTTCATTTTTTCTGTTTGCTTGATTAGCTTAATGACAATTTAGTTTGTGTATTTAGTTAATTAGTCCGTTTACTCTTTTCTTTGTTTGGGTTTCATTTTAACAGTCTTTTGGTCTTTTGGAAAATGTTGGCTAGCCTATTAAAATATGATCATTTGACCAAGGTTTGATTTGAATTGTGAGATCAGAGAGCCCAAAAAGAAGTTGAATTGGTCTTTACATATCCATTAAATTGGGTCAATTTGACACATATTCTGCCTGGCCTCAGGGGTAATAACATGGGCTTAGGGGTAATTTAGGAACTCTAGGTAGAGGAATCTTTGAATAACAAACTAGGGATGCTTCTAGGAAGCTGGGTGGGGACTAATCTGAAATTCTGATCTTTACACTAAGGATTTCTAAGCAAAAACCAAAATTCCAAAAGGGTCTAAATGCAAAATCTGATTTCTTTAGGCTGCCTTAGCACCTTGCATATAAAGGCATCCTTTTCTTCAAGCTCAAGGCAGATTTTAAGAGATAAAAATTCTGCAAAATTGAAACGGCTGCTCGCCTTGAAAAAATTCTGAAATAATCTCAAATTCCCTTCAGTTTCTTTGTGAAAACTATTGAAAACTCTGCTTGATTTTGTCCCTCTGATCCTCATAGTCTAGTTCAAAACCACTAAAATTTCACAATTTTACATTCTGGTTTGAAATGGATTGAATAGTGGATATTTAAAAGCTTGGGTTTGAATTTTTGCTGGGGGGAACACTGTTCCATTCATGGATTTTTAACTGACTCTGCTGTTGCTTCCTTTTGGGTTGAGCTTTCTGCTGCTGATTTGTGCTGAACCCTCACTTCTTTATTTCATTTTTCATTTCCAGGTACATGATCTCCGAATCTTACCTTATGTGATGGCTTGACTTGAAGAATGAAATGGAAAACTAGAGTTCAAAATATGTTTTCAGTTTCTTTTATGAATTCAGTTCTATCTCTTTGTTGTATGGTATTTTATAGCTTTAGTTCATTGTCTTCTTAATTAATTTCTGGTTTAGCTGGTGGAATTTGTTTCTTGTATTTAATTTGGGACTGTGAAGATGCTGTGGATAAAAGACTCAGTCAAAAGGCATGTTTGTTCAGTTTTTCTTTAGTTTCGACTATACATTTCAGTTTTACATTGCTTGGTAATAATCTCATGTAGAACCAGTCATCATGACAAGTATAGGTTAGTGACGAAGTGAATAATATGTAGTCTGTTATCTAAAAGCATTGTGATGTGTTTATTTTGAGATTTGGTTGTCCTGTGAAATGTGATCATAAACTCACGTTGAGGATAGTTGATTTTGCCTATTAGTTTTGTTTAAATTTTGGCCTCAGTTAGTTTAATGTTTGATATCTTGTGAAATAAGGTTTTAAACCTTGTAATTTGGAGCCTGGTTTATTTCTATGAAGGAAAGGTTTAGACCAGTGTTTTTGAGAGCGCAAAGCGCAAAAAAGCGACAAGGGCTCGCCTCGCTTCAAAAGCGAAGCGCAAAGCGAAGCGCACGCTTTATTAAAGTGAAGCGCAATTCTTAAAAAACATAATGTAAAATTATAAATAATCAAAAACATCAATTTAAATACTTAAAATTAGGTACTAGGTACCACCAAATCATCCACAAACCATAGGACAAGCAAAATCAAAGCTACTAAATTACTAGAAGTCAATCAACATCTTATTCCTACTCTTCTTCTTCAAGATTGTCAAAATCTTGAATTCCTCTAGTATCTTCATATTGCTCGTCATCTTCTTCTTCCCCCTCCTCTTCATGATCACTTTCCTCTTCATCAATTAGGGATAGGGATCGACTTGTAGTAGCCACACTTTTTCCCTTCCTAATAGAGCTTGAACTTGGAGTATATCTCCTTAAACCATAAGGATTCTCCCCAACTCCACTACCAACCGCAACATCACCCCAAGTGAAATCGGAGTCGCCTTCAAATACTTCTTCATCTTCACAATTTTCGGGGACTCTGGTTAGCCACTCATTAGCCTCATCAATATTGTCCAAAAGAATTGGATCAATTATATTGCGGTGGTTGTACCGACGCCTCAATGCTCTATTGTATTTTATAAACACTAGATTATGGAGGCGCTTCAAGGTTAGTCGATTCCTTTTCTTTGTATGAATCTGCAAAAAAGATGTGTCAACTAATTAGTATTTAGTAGGAGTTTGGACAATTGAGATATAATCTACTTTATCTCAAAACACGAAATAATTCTTTTTATTTCTCACGTGTTCAAAAACACTCCAGTTCCTTTCACATCCGGATGAGCTACAAGTTAAGCTTAGAACTTTGATGGCGAAAGTCTGTAACTCCGGAGTCTCTACACCATATTGGTCCTACCATTCAACTATAGAAGTCAAAAAAATATTCAAGAGTTAATAAGTATAAAAAATACGTTGAAGTTAGATTTATAAAATATAGAAACACTTGGTCACCTGGCGACTTCGTCGTTCTTTGTTTAATAGCAAGTCTAAGCTTAAAAAGTCCTTCAGCTGCCTTGTAAGTAGCAAGCTGATCTACTATCTTTTCTTGCAAGTCTTCATCTGGGTTCAACTTGATAACAACCTGATGGAATCCTGTCCACACTTCTTTAGCCAATGAATTCTTCTCATGCTGCTCATAAAAGAGTGATGGGTTCAGAATAAGTCCAACTGCATGCAAAGGTCTATGAAGTTGCTCATCCCATCTTGCATCAATGATCTGAAAGACCTTTGCATATTTTTGCTCATCACTGAATGATGCTTGAATAGTCTCCTTGGCCCTATCCATAGCTTCATAGAGGTAGCCCATTGATGGTTTTGCCTCCCCATCTACCAAACGGAGTACTTTAACCAAAGGGCCACCAATTTTAAGAGCATGAAGGACATTATTCCAAAAAGAATAAGAAAGAATAATGCGTGCAACCTCTTTCCCCGCACTTTCCTTTGCAAATTTACTCCTGCTCCATTCCTCTGAAGTGACCATCTTTCTCAAATTGTCTTTTTGACAGTGGAGACTACGCAAAGTCAAGAAAGCAGTGGCGAACCTTGTCTTGCCCGGTTTCACCAAATTTTTTTGCATGGTGAATCTTCTCATCATATTCAATAACAAGGGCCGCTGACAAATATAAGAATGTAATCTAACGCCCTGGCCAAAAACTGTAGAGAAGGGTCTTTCCTTGAAAATATCCCCGAACATCAAGTTGATACAATGAGCCGCACATGGAGTCCAATAGACATTCTTGTACGCTCCTTCAATCATGCCACCCGCTTTCACATTTTCACTTGCATTATCAGTGACCACTTGAACAACTTTGCTTGGACCAATCTTTTCGATAGTGTTCTGAAACAAGGTGAACATTTTGATGTGGTCGGTGGATGAGTCACTAGCATCAATGGACTCAAGAAACAAACTTCCCCGGGGAGAATTCACCAACACATTAATAATCATTTTCCCCGTTCTTGCCGTCCACTTGTCCATCATAATGGAGCAGCCGTACTTGTTCCACACAACTTTATGCTCCTCAACAATTTTATTAGTCTCCTCCACTTCCTTATTTAGATAAGGACCTCTTATTTCATGGTAAGTGGGAGGCTTCATTCCAGGTCCGTATTGACCAACGACCTCAATAAAGTCTCCAAAAGTGTCATAGTTGACACAATTGAAGGGGAGCCCAGCATCATAGACCCATCGTGCAAAAGCTCTAACTGCACGATCCCTCAAAATGTCTTTAGCAATTTTTTGTACATCTTTTCCACCGCCCTTTGCTCCCGGCTTCTTTGAGAAGTAGCAATCGATAGGACCTTTAGTCGATGATCCATGGCTTGACCCATCTCTTCCCCGTTTTGTTGGAAGTGACAATTCTTCAATATAATCATCATCATCATCATCATCAAGATTGGTCACCATTGGTTGATGAACCATTTGATTTTTTTGCTCCTTCTTCTTCTCAACAAAGTTCTTTATTTCTTCCCTCACCTCCGGTGGACATTTCGGACAACTTGTGACGTTTCTATCGCCACCAATTAGATGGTATTTAAAGCGATAAATGCCACCCGTTGTAATCTTGTTGCAAAACTTGCATACAACATTTGTATTCTTCTCATTAACTCTCTCACCATAGCTCCAAGCCGGGTCTTTCTCTTTCGAACTTTGAGACATTTTAATATCCCTATTAAGATATAAGAAAAAACATAATCAATAAACTGAAAATACATATAATATATATAATAATTAATTATATAAACTGAAATATACATTTAAAAAATCACATAAACTAAAACTAATACATATATATAATTAATTTATATGCTGAAAATATAATAATAATTTAATTTTATATGCTTGAAAATATAATAATAATTTAATTGTATATGCTTGAAAAAATACACAAATGAAAGGAAAAAGAAGAAAAAATTGTTCCTTAGTCCTTACTCTATTCTGGACCGGAGAAACAGAGAAAGAAAGAAAGAAAGAAGAAGAAGAATAAAAAAAAAACGAGAAGAACTGAAAGACAGAAGAAGAAAGAGAAAGGAGAAGAAGAAATTACCTGGGTCAGCAATGGCGAGTGTCGCGAGCGAGAAAGGAGAACTCGAGCGAGAGAGAAAGCGTCAGCAATGGCGTCTCTGCTTTTGGATTTCAGCTTCAGCAGGTAAAAAACCTAGGTTTTGTGAGTCAAACTCTGTTTTGTCGAAGGGAAGGGGTTTTTGGTCGATTTAGGGCTGTTTTGTCTAATAAAAATAACAGACCCAAAAGTTTTTTTTTTTTTAAGTAAAAAGAACCCCTCGCGCTTTTCTTGGAAAGAAAGCGATCGCTTCATCGCTTTATCCGCTTCGTCGCTTCATCACCTTCTCCTGTGAAGCGCTCGCTTTCTCAGATCGAGTCGCCTCAGTGTGTTGGAAGCGACAATAGGTCGCGTCGCGTCGCTTCGCGCTTAAAGCGACGAAGCGCGCGCCTTTCTAAACACTGGTTTAGACATATGTTGTTTGCTTCTGAGGAGACTCGATCTTGAGTCCTAAACCTCCAGCAATTGACCCAGTCTCACCAACCAGTGCGGAACGCACAAAATGGACCGCAGTCCGCACTGCACAGCATTATTCCAGTTCAAATTAGCAACCCACTGCGGTCCGCACAAAATGGACCGTGGCCGCAGTGGTCCACCGCGGACCGCACAAAATGCAGTGCGGCCGCAGTGGCAAACTTCAGAAAGTTATCACATCACCCTTTACCAGTGCGGCCGCACTGGCAACTTCAGAGACCTGTGCATTTTTTCAATTATGTCCTGCACTGCATCAACTCAATCCTGTAACATCTCACAACCAGTTAGCCCAAAAATCAATCCTACACTACAATGAAAATCAAATAAAGACAAGAAGAAAAACAAATGGGTTGCCTCCCAAGAAGCGCCTGATTTAACGTCGCGGTACGACACATGTTACCATCCAATCATTTGAAATGAACAACAACTACCACATGGCTATCATCAAACTTCCCCAAATAATGCTTGACTCTATGCCCATTCACTCTAAAAACTTCCCCACCTTTGTTCTTCAAATCAAGAGCACCAAACGGGGTCACACACACTACTTCAAATGGTCCGCTCCACTTTGACTTCAGCTTTCCCGGGAACAACCTTAGTCGAGAATTGAATAAGAGCACCAAATCTCCCACCTTGAACTCCTTGCCCCGAGTATATTTGTCATGAAGGTATTTCATTTTATCCTTATATAGGGATGAACTAGAGTATGCATGGAACCTAAATTCATCAAGCTCATTGAGTTGCTCCACCCGAAGATTAGCAGCTATGTCCCAATCAAGATTCAACTTCTTCAAGGCCTACATGGCCTTATGCTCCAACTCCACTGGTAGATGACATGCTTTGCCAAACACCAACCGGTACGGCGACATACCAATTGGAGTCTTGTAAGCGGTCCGATAAGCCCATAGAGCATCATCCAACTTTTTAGACCAATCGGTCCTATTGGCACTGACGGTTTTGGACAAAGTGCTCTTGATCTCCCTGTTAGACACTTCAACCTGGACACTTGCTTGAGGATGATAAGGCGTAGATACTTTGTGGTTGACACCATACTTGGGAAAGAAAGGCATCAAAAGCTCTATTACAAAAATGCGATCCTCCATCACTAATAATTGCCCGAGGTGTACCAAACCTTGTGAAATTGCTCTTCTTCAGAAATGCCACCACACACCTAGTTTCATTGATGGGCAAGGCCACGACTTTAACCCATTTTGAGACATAATCAACCGCTACTAGAATGTAAGTGTTTCCGCACGAGCTTACAAAAGGGCCCATAAAATCGATACCCCATACATCAAAGATATCTACTTCGAGAATGGTGTTTAGAGGCATCTCATCTTTCTTGGAAATCTCGCCCGCTCGTTGACATTGATCACACCTTTTTACTAGATCACTTGCATCTTTGAACAAGGTTGGCCAATAAAAACCACAACTTAGAACTTTCGAACCCGTCCTCGCCCCGCCATGATGGCCACCATAGGGGGAGGAATGACAAGCCTCTAGGATGCTAAATTGCTCCTCCTCGGGTATACACCTCCGGATCACTCCGTTGGTGCAAATATTGAACAAGTATGGCTCGTCCCAATAGAATTCCAGACTATCCCGTTTGAGCTTCTTCCTTTGGTTAGAAGAGAGCTCACACGGGATGATGCCAGTCACAAGGAAATTAGCAATGTCCGCAAACCATGGCATATCACACATCGACACAGAAAGTAGTTGCTCATCGGGGAATGTATCATTAATCTATAGGCCATCACACGGCCTACCTTCCTCCTCCAAGCGGGACAAATGATCCCCCACTTGGTTTTCGCTACCTTTTCGGTCAACTATCTCCAAATCAAACTCTTGAAGTAATAAGACCCATCGCGTCAGTCTAGCTTTGGAGTCTTTCTTTGTCATCAAATATCTAAGAGCTGCATGATCGGTGTGCACTATGACTTTGGCTCCCATAAGATATGGCCGAAATTTCTCCATGGCGAACACAATAGCCAACAATTCCTTCTCAGTCACCGTGTAGTTTCTTTGAGCCTCGTTCATAGTCTTGCTCGCATAGTACACTGGATGAAATATTTTGTTCACTCTTTGACCCAAAACTGCCCCAACCGCAACATCACTCGCGTCACACATGAGCTCGAAAGGCAAGCTCCAATTGGGTGCAGTAATGATCGGGTGGTGGTCAACTTATGCTTTAGAAGTTCAAAGGCTTGCATACATCTCTCATAAGACACGAACTTTGTATCCTTTTCTAGCAACTTGCATAGAGGATTCACTACCTTCGAAAAGTCCTTGATAAATCGCCGGTAGAAACTCGCATGCCCAAGAAAACTCCTCACCCCCTTGACAGAAGTGGGGGGAGGAAGCCTTGAAATCACCTCTATCTTGGCTTTGTCAACTTCAATCCCATGCTTTGAAATTCTATGGCCCAACACTATGCCCTCCTCAACCATGAAGTGGCATTTTTCCCAATTTAGCACAAGATTGGTGTCTTCACACCGGGCCAAAACTCTATCCAAATTGTGCAAACACTCTTCAAATGAATCACCAACCACACTGAAGTCGTCCATGAACACCTCTAATATATCTTCCACCATATCGGTGAAAATGGCCATCATACACCGTTGGAATGTTGCCGGTGCATTGCACAACCCAAAGGGCATCCGAGAGAAAGCAAAGGTGTCATATGGACAAGTAAAGGTTATCTTCTCCTGATCCTCGGGAGCTATCAAAATTTGATTGTACCCTGAATAACCATCCAAGAAACAATAGAAGGCACGCCCAGCAAGGCGATCAAGCATCTGGTCCAGGAAAGGCATGGGAAGTGATCCTTGCTGGTCACCTTGTTCAGCTTGCGGTAGTTCATGCACACCCTCCATCTGGTCACTGTCCGGGTTGGAATAAGTTCATTATTAGCATTGGTCACCACGGTCATACCACCCTTCTTCGGCACATATTGCACCGGAGAAGTCCATGAGCTGTCAGAGATAGGATACACCACGCCGGCATCTAACCACTTGATCACCTCTTTTTTCACCACTTCTTGCATTGCCTCATTGAGCCTCCTTTGATGTTCCAAGGAGGGTTTTGCATCATCTTCCAGAATAATCTTGTGCATGCAGAAAGCGGGGCTTATTCCCCGAATGTCAGCTAGAGTCAATCCAATTGCCTTTTTCCGCTTTTTGAGCACCGCCAATGTGGCATCTACCTGCATGTTCGTAAGACAAGAGGAAAGAATAACTGGTAAAGTTGAATTAGACCCCAAGAATTCATACCTGAGGTGTGGAGGTAATGGCTTCAACTCCAACACCGGGGGTTCCTCAATTGAAGGCTTTGTTGGAGGCGTCTTTCTATTTTCAAGATCCAAAGAAAGTTTCCTAGGCTCATAAGAATAAGAGCCCATTCCATGTAAAGCATTCACGCACTCCACTCAGCCCGCATCATCATTGACATCCAAATTTAACAATACGGCCTCCAAAGGGTCCTCAACATTGATCATTGCACTGGTATCATCAATTATCACAACCGTGACTAAATCCACAAATGAGCACACTTCGGTACAATTGGGCTGCTTCATTGACTTGCATACATGAAAGACTACCTTTTCATCACCCACCCTGAAAGTGAGTTCCCCTGCTTCCACATCAACTAGAGCCTTCCCCGTAGCAAGGAAAGTTCTCCCCAATATGATCGGGACTTCATAGTCGACCTCACAATCCAAGATCACAAAATCAGCTGGCAAGATAAATTTGTCCACCCGGACAAGCACATCGTCAACTATACCCAGTGGTCGCTTCATTGATCTATCCGTCATTTGCAATCTCATGGAAGTTGGCCGTGGTGGCCCAATACCCAAAGTCTTGAAAACTGAATAGGGCATCAAATTGATACTAGCCCCTAGGTCACACAAAGCTTTAGCAAAGTCTGCACTCCCAATAGTGCAAGGGATTTGAAAGCACCGGGATCCTACAACTTCGGAGCCATTGAATGCACTATAGCACTAACTTGTGGGTCATCTTGATAGTCTCGCAGTCCATGGATCTTTTCTTTGTAACCAAATCTTTCATGAATTTGGCATAGCCACGCATTTGCTCCAAAGCCTCTACCAAAGGCACATTGATAGATAGGCTCTTCATCATGTCAATAAACTTTTTAAACTGATTCTCATTCTTTTGCTTGGCTAGCCTTTGAGGATAAGGTGGAGGTGGCCTTGGAAAAGGAGCC